ATCTTTTCTTTGAGCGGTAGGATTATGATTTTTCTTTCTGTTTTTATTTTTTATACTTTCAGTTGGTTTCTAAATGTCTTTTGGTTTATATCCGTTAATTAGCAAAAGAAATTCATGTTTCAAAAGCGACTCCTGTCCCAGTGCCGAATCTGACCCTCCCCTAAAACCACAGCGGGCCCGCAGCCGACTTCCAGAGGCTGGAGTTTGCTCAGTTTGTGTGGACAGAGAGCGCCTACTTGGAGTTTATTAATAATAGCTCCATTGTACACAGGCCCAGCAAATTTCCATTTCAGCACTGAAGGAGTATTATGGATTAAAATGCAAAATGTAGGTTAAAATGTAGTCATTGTCCCTTGTAGCTGGGGTTATCTATCTGCCTTGTTTTGATTAACCAGCAAGCAGTTCAAAGTTCCTATTGTAAATTTTGCTCATAAGTTCAGACTGTAATTCAGCAGCTTGCCTCTTATGAAACTTTAACTTACCCTTTGCAAACTTTTGGGGGGTTATGTTAGAGCCCCATTATTAGATCAGAGAATTGCTAAATATAGCCAGAACCCCCTGTAGAGATGCTATAAGCAACTGAGCCCCAGGACATTGAAATCCCCAATCTTAGACGTTGCCGGTACAACCTCGCTGCAGCGGAAGCACCAGCTCCAAGCAGCCTCTGCTACATTAATGCTCAGCTCTGAGGTTCAAAGTAATGCTTGTAGCTGCCATTGCTGATGGCGAGTCGCAGTACATAACCTGGGGAGATTAGCTCACCTCACCTCTCCACGATTCTGTGCAAAAGGGGTTATTATGCCCATTTTACAGATGAGAATACAGCCTCTAGGCTTGAGAATGAGTATCCTCAGCTATGCAGCTGGTTGGGGAGAAGCCTGAGGCTGGCCCCACGCCTGGCTGCTCATGTGTTCTTTCTGTCCTTCATGTTGCCTTGCTGCAGTATTGTTTAAATTAGCACTATGCGGCCCGCCCTGGTGGCGCAGCGGGGTAGAGCACAGCACTGAGAAGCTAAAGCCACTTCAGCATGCGTTCGATCCCCGACCCCGGAGGTGACCCACAGGGCGCGGCAGACCTCTCCTGACCCGCCCGCTGCTCCCTTCAGCAGTGTACTTCGACCATCTGCCTGTCCTGCTCCCCACTCTGTCTCTGGTGAATCCTTCCACTGCCCCACACCTCTGGCCTGTACCCCAGTTCTGTGTGCACAAATAAATCTTTTTTTAAGAAAGATTGCTATGAAGTGGCTTGCACAGAACTGCCAATAGGGTAGCTATTACTATTATAAAGAAAAGAATAGCATTATGTACATCAAACCCAATACGGAGGAAATGAGTAAATGTTCCACTCAAGAGTTCTTTTCTCAAGGTCTAATTTGATTTGCAGAGGATTCCAAATGCAACACATCATAGTGAGCACATAAATTGTGTGAAATATTATGCGATATTCCCTTATATATCTTATTAGGTAATTATGTGCATCTAATAAGTTAATAAAGTGTCAGATCTCTTCAGCAGATGAATGACTAACTCGGTTCTTTATCCTGGTTAATCAGAATTAAAAGCTCATTTTCCCTCCCTTGTCTACCAGGCTTTTTTTTTTTTTAAGATTGATTTATTTATGCTTATGGAACTGGAGTACAGGCCAGAACTGGGGTACAGGGGTAGTGAGAGGATTCACCAGAGACAGAGTGGGGAGCAGGACAGGCAGATGGAGGAAGTACACTGCTGAGGGGAGCAGAAGGTGGGTCAGGAGAGGTCTGCTGTGCCCTGTGGGTCACCTCCCTGGCCAGGGTTCGAACTCATGCTGAAGTGGCTTTGGAGAGTTTTGCTTTAACCCGTTGCGCCACCAGAGAGAGCCTGTTTATTAGGCTTTTAACATATCTTTTACCTTACAGATGTTAATTATAGAAAGTAACTGTTGCTTTCTTTTGAATAGTTTCTTCTGTTTTTCTCATTAATTGCCCTCCCTACCTCAAATAGTCATCCTTTAGTAATTAAGTTCATTTTTCAGAGGCTAAAATGATTATTTTTAAGTTGTGTACTATGAAAGTGACTGAATGAAATAATCAAATCAAAGTAGAAAGAAAAATATTTTCTGTCTTTGCCCAGCTTCCTTCACTACACATCAAAGTGTGGTCAATTTTATTTAATTAATCCCTCCTCCTTCCCCTCACCCCATTAAGACATTTAAAGGCAAATCCAAGACATCCCATATCACTGTATCTAAATATGTAAGCTATAAGGATTCTCTCTTCAAAATCTAAATGCCAGGATCACACTGAAAAATAACTGACTCCTCAGTCACCAGCCAGCGTCCATTCCCCAGTTGGCTGAAGCATGGCTCCTCATGGCGGCGGCCTCCTTGAGATGGACTTCACATAACACAGTCCACCATTTAAGGTGTGCCACGCACTGATTTTCAGTGTGTTCACAACGTTGTACAGCCCTCTCCACTGTCTAATTTTGGAACACCTTCATCACTCAAAGTCTATTCCCATCAGCGGTCACTTCCCATTGCTCCCTCCCTGGTAGCACCTCCATGGACTTGACCTGGACATTTCGTGAGTGGAGCTGTGCAGCAGGGGGCCTTTCTCCACGACTGCACTCACCCGGCATGATGTCCCCAGGCTTGTCCACGTGTAGCAGCAGCACTTTGTTCCTTTTTATGACTGAATAATATTCCACCACATGGACATACCACATTTTGTCTGTCCACTGGTTGACGGACATTTGAGTTGTTAGTGACTTCCTGCAGCTCATTAATGCCTGTCTTTCCTTTGTATTCTTGCACTACCAATGCCTAAAAGTCAAATAGCTCAGTGGTGCAGTGAACAGATTCCTCCACCTGTCAAGCTGTATTAAAACATGTTTCATGTATAATCTGATGACGGCAGGATCTTTTTTGAAATTACATAAGGTATTAGGATTTTTAGACTTCTGGCATCAGGATACCTTGTCTTTTCATTGAACAGTATGTCCTGAGGGTCTGCCCCCCCCACCCCACACCCCCAAGTGGAGAAAGATCCTCCACATTCCTTTCACTCTGCAAAGCTCTCCAGTGTGAGCTGTGCCTGGCTTATTCAGTTGACTGTGGGTGGCCTTTTGTTTGGCAAATAATACCCCAGTGATTGGCCTTGTGAATAAAGCATTTGTTTTATTCTTTAGGGCAGATTCCTGGAAGTGGGGTCCTGGGTCTGAGGAGAAAGGGGTGGATAATTTTAGTAGGTACTGAAGATAGGAATCATCCCGGCTCTTGGGTATTCACCTGCTTTGCCTTACAGGTTGGCTAAAGCCTTAGCTAAAGCCTTCTGTCACTCCAAAATAAAACACCTTTTAAATTTGGCTGTAGGTGGTCAGGAGCTAGGGGTCCTCTGGTCACACATGCTGAGCTATAAACTTGGGGTTTCGGCAGAGGCACGTCCCGAGAGGGCCTGCAGTGTGCAGCTGCTGGGCTTCCTCTGAGCCACCATCTCTCTTGTGGAAGGACAGTACCAGATGACAGAGTGACTTGAAAATATGACTAAAAAACCAACACCTGCGTGGCTCAGTCACTGCTCCATCTTCGTGACAGCGCCCCCAACACAGGGTGGGGCTTTGTTGTTCTGTGAGCACATCCTTCCTCGCTGCCATCGAGGGGCACCAGGCCCTTGTCGTGGGCTCTCCGCCCTGCCCCGGGTCAGCCGGGACCCTCTTGCTGCTGACAGACTCTGCCCCCCAGGCCTGGTGCTGGACCTGCCGGGGCGCTCCGGGGAGCAGGAGTCTGTTTCCACTCCCGTGCGCGTGTCCATCCTACAGTGGCCGTGCGTGCGGTCAGCTCGCCCTCAGTCCAGACTGACTCCTGACTACTCTGTTACCACGTGGGCTTGTGGCCTCGTCCCCGCGCAGGTCTGTAATCTCCGTTTCTCAGCGGCCCGGTTCTGATACTTCGTGCAGGGTTTGCCATGCCGTGACCCTTTCCGCGAGGCGCTGTCCCGTGTGGCGGGCACAGTGGGTTCCTTTTGTCACCATCCACTGCCCGGCGCGGAGCGAGGTTTCTAGTGGCGAGCACTGAAGCCCACGGGCCGCTTGCTGTCTCTGGGCTGCGGGCTGGCTCCTCGCGCTCAGCGGTGCGGGCCTAAGACCCACGCCCCCGCTGGCGGGACCATCCACCGCCGCCCGGCGGGTCACGCTGCGTGTTACCCACTCGCCCGCTGACGCCATCTTGGCTGCTTCTAAATGTTGAAAGCAAGTTTTATGTAGATGGAGGTTTTCAGTCGGGTGCATAAAGACCATGTGAGCAAGTTACTGGGTCACATCGGAGGGGACAGTTAGCTTTATCAGCAGCCGCCGACCTGCCTCGCGACGCCTCTGCCATCTTGCCTTCCCCCAGCCCGAGGGGGGCTGCGGCCCACTGCTGGCCAGCCACGTTATTCGTCTGGCTTTCTCTGGCATTTAGCCACCCTAATAGGTGACCGGCGCCTCATTACTGTCTTAATTTGCATTTCCCTGATGACAGGAGACTGGCCACCTTTTCATATGCTCATGCGCCATCTGTGTGCCCTCTTTGGGGAGGTGTCTGTTCAGATCTTTTGCCCATTTTTTTAATTGGGCTGCTGTTTTCTCTCTGTTCAGTTTTAAGAATTCTCTTTGATATTCTGCATACGAATCCTTGATCAGATACACGATTTGCAAATATTTTCTCCCAGTCTGTGACTTTTCACGCTGTTTAAAATGCCCATCACAGAGCAAACCCGCTCATGGGTTGCAGCCAGCAGCTCTGCCTTACAGTTGTCCTTTGGGTGATAGATCTGCACACTCGCTGCACACCCAGCGCCGGAGTCTGGGGCCTTCCTTGCTTGGGCAGCGTTGGCTGGAAACCTCCACCGACTCGTCTTCACATCTTTGCCATTTCCGCTACCACTGTACAACTGATGGCCTTTTCTACCCTGCAAAGCTCACATTCCCAAAAGAGCTGCCGCCCCACGGGGAGAGTCCTCATTTCCCTTTGTGCTTGTTTTGCAGCAAGACCCCTGGTACAGACCTTGCCTTTGAGAACCACCGTCAACAATGGCACCGTGCTACCAAAGAAACCCGGTGGCTCTCTCCCGTCCCCCTCCGGGGCCAAGACCGCCGTGCCAGCAGCAACCAAAAGGTAGGCAGCAGGTGTCTTCAGCCAGCCACCGGCTCCTGCTCGGGCTATAAGTTGTTACCTGTTTATGTGACACTTCACCGTTTCCCTGCGTTACAGCTTATGAAAGTATTTGGTGTGTTGAACAACAGGACCTCTACTCAGTGGTGCTTGTTCTTTTTTATAGATTTATTCAAACCGCAGGGCTCAAACTACAGTGCACCTGCTTGTGTCCTCACGTAGAAATCGCTCTTGACAAAGCAGGTGGCATATTACCGTCGTAAACATGAGTCCCAAGTCCACGCTGGCACACAGCAGAGGTCAGGTGGCCAGACCAAGCTCCAGTGTTTCTGACTGAAGTCAAGCTCCTCCTTGTCGCTGGTGCTCAGGGTGGGCTCTGCCCACTGAGGGGTCTGTCACGTGTGGCTGCGCTTCGCTTGCCAGTAATTTCACCATTGTCATGTTGTACTTCTGCACTTTATAAGCCCGGCTGCTTTTGGAACATTTTTTTTTTTTTAAAGATTTATTTATTTGTACATACAGAACTGGGGTACAGGCCAGAGGCTCAGGGGCGGTGAGAGGCTTCACCAGAGACAGAGTGGGGAGCAGAACAGGCAGATCGACGAAGTACACTGCTGAGGGGAGCAGCGAGCGGGTCAGGAGAGGTCTGCCGCGCCATGTGGTCACCTCCGGGGCAGGCGGGGATCGAACTCATGCAGAAGTGGCTTTAGCTTCTCAGTGCAGTGCTTTAACCCGCTGCGCCACCAGGGAGGGCCTGTTTTTGGAACATTTTAGACCCTAGAACCTTACTTACCTGCTGCTAATAGAGCTGAGAAGGTAAAGAGATTGTGCAGCGCTAGCCTACAGCCTGTGCTCAGAATGCAGGAGGAGGCGAGAACTGGTGAAAACGCCAGCTGCCTCCCGTGTGCGGTGGGGCCGGCACCTGCCCTGTGGGTGTTGAGGCTGCCCGCCAGGCTTGCTGGGCTGTGAGGGGAGTGGAGACCGAGCGGTCCAAGCTCGTCTCTTAAGTAGCTGGTGCTGCCCGTCTCCCTCGTCCTTGACCAGTGCTTTGTCATTGAGGGTCGCAGAGAGAGCTTTAGGTACTTAGTACTGGTGAATTTTCAGAAAAATGGTTTTGCAGGCTTTTCAGAACTTTAAAATGACATCCCGGCCTTTCATACCTGTTTAATGCTGGTTTGAATCACTTATAATCAATATGAAATTATGTCTGGTTGCTGACTGACAGTTGTGCTTACAGAGTAGCTTTCATTCATCTAGCCGTTGTTAGATTGACAAAACTGACTTTTGCAAAGATTCAGGTGGCCATCTGTCATGGTTTGTATTTCTGCTAAAATATGTAATATTAAATTTGCCAGTTCACTATTTTTAAGTGTTCAGTCATGTTAAATAGACTTGCATTATTGTGTGAGAGCTCTAGGTTGTTTTCATTCTGCAAAACTATAACTGCAGACCCACTAAATAGCAACCCTTGACCAGCCCGTGGCAACCACTTTTCTAGTTTCATTTTCTGTGATTTTTGACTACTTTAGATACTTCATAGGAATGGCTTAAGTCACTTACCATAACATCCTCTCGCTTCATCCATATTGTAGCATATGCCAGAATCTCCTTCCTTTTTTGAGTCTGCATAATATTTCATTGTGTGTATACACTTTATCATTCACCTGTCAGTGGGAATTCTGGTTGCTTCTACTTCTTTGAATAATGGTGTTCTGAACAGAGGTGTACACTTTCTCTCTGAGATCCTGCTTGGAATCTTTGGGGTATATACCAGGAAGAGGGTTACTGGATCATATGATGATTCTATTTTTGAATTTTGGAGGAACTTCCACACTGTTTCCACAGTCACCCCTCCATTTTACATTCTCACCAACAGTGCCTCTTCCTGGTCAGCACTTTCTGTTCTTTTGATGGGCGTGAGGAAGTATCTTCTATGGCTTTGATTTGACTTTCTCTTATCATTAGTGACATTCCGGTTTTTATTTGGTCATTGTTAATGTATGGAAACAGTTGATTTTTCTGTCCTTTAGACTTTGTTGAAATTGTTTATTAGTGTTTAAGTACTGTGTGTGGCATTGTTAGAGGTTTCAACATAAAAGCTTATGCATCTACAATTGGGATCATTTTACTTTTTCCTTTCTTTCCAATTTGCATGCCTTCTATTTCATTTTCTTGCCTTGTAGTCCTGATTAGGGTTGCCAGCACCATGTTGAATAGTGGTGAGAGTTAGTATCCATAACTGTTCCTGATCTTGGAGGAAAGATCTTCAGCCTTACACCACTGAATGTGACATGAACTGTGGACTTTTCTTATGTGTAGTTGATGATGTTAAGGTAGTTTTCTTCTCTTTCCAGCTTATTAAGTGTTTTTAACCATGAAAGAGTGTCAAATTTGCCTAGTGATCTTTCTGCATTAATTAAAGTAGTCAAGTGATATTCGTCATTCATTCTGTTAATGTGGCAATTGGTTTTCATATGTTAAATGGATTTCAACATGCTGGAATTCCAGGGGTAAATCCCATGTAGTCATAGTAGATAATCCTTTTAAAGTAATAGAGAGTTTGATTTGCTAGCATTTTGTTGAGGATTTTTATTTGAATTCTCATCAGGGATATTGTTCTATAGTTTTTCTTAGTGTGATTTTCTCTGGTTTTGGTATTAGAGTAATGCTAGTTGTGTAGAATGAAACTGGAAGTGTTCTTCCTTCAATTCTTTGAAAGAGTTTGAGAAGAGTTGCTATTAGTTATTCTTTAAATGTTTGGTAGAATTCTCCAATGATGCCTGCTAGTCCTTGCTTTTCTTTGTTGGGAGGTTTTTGATTAATGCTTCATTAGTTATAAATTTTGATTAATGCTTCCTAGTTATAAATTAGTTTAGCATTTTCATTTTTTCGTGATTCAGTCTTTGTAGGTTGTGTGAAATATGCCAGGATTTTGATTTTTGTAATTTCCCTAATTCCAATTACTTGAGTGTCGTTTCTTTTTTTGTAGTCTAGTTGAGAATTTGTTGATTTGAAAATAAAACAACTCTTGGCTTCATTTTTTTTCTGCTTAATTTATCTCTGCTCTAACCTTTATCTTTGTCTTACTTCTGTTATCTTTTGGTTTATTTGGTTCTTCTTTGAGGTGTAAAGTTAAGTTGATAATTTCAGATCTTTCTCCCTTTTAACTTGTGTTTACCACTGTAGATAACCCATTTAGTTCACTTTCTCAGCATTCCATAAGTTTTAGTATTTTGTATTTTCATTTTTATTTGTCTCCAGAAGTTTTCCAGCTTCTGACTTTTTTTTCTTGGAGCTAGAGGTTGCTTAAGAAAGAGTTGTTTAAATCTAAGTGTCCATCAGCAAATGATTGGATAAAGTGGAATATATACCTGATGGAACAGTTCTCAACTTAAAGGCGGATGAAGTCTTGCCAAAATGTTTCCAATCTGCATGGACCTAGGGGCTATTCTGCTAAGTGAATTAAATTATATGGAGAAAGACAAACACCACCTGATATCACCCATATGTAGAAGATAAAGAAACAAAACAAAGCAAATCCTTATACTATAAAAACAAAATAGTGGTTACCAGAGGGAAGTGTGGAGAGGGGTGGATAAGTTGGGTAAAATGGGTCAATTGTATGAGGTAGGATGGAAACTAGATTTTTGGTGGCAAACGTAATCTGCTATACCTGAAAACTAAACATAGTATACACCAATGCTGATTTATAGTGCTGTGCACCTGAAACCAATATAATGTTACGAACCACTCTAATTTCAATTAAAAAAATTTAAGTTGGCTACAAAAACATAAAATAAATTTTAAATTTGTAGACAGTGAATTGTTTCATGACGTAACTTCAAAGTTGCAAAGAGTTAACAAAAATAAAGTTATTGCCCTCTACCCTTAGAGAAACTAGATTTATAATTCATGCCTCTTATATACTTGAATTTAAATAAAAGAATTTTTTCAGAGCAAAAATTATTAAATTTCTTTTTACTTTTCAGAGCAACTTGGTCTATGATTTCGTGGAAGTCTCTATTTTTGGTCCAAAGTCACTTTGAGTTGTTTAATCCCCACATTTTATCGGCAGTACTAGGTCTTCATCCTGGAAGGATTAGTTGGCATGATGGTTGAAATTCCTGGCAAACTGTGTGTTGAGTTCTGGTGTTTGAAACATTTATTCAGAGCAGGATGAAGCGGGAGTGCCATCAGACTGCAGGAGTGAGATTGCACTCTGGGATCTAATTGATACTTTCCCACAGGTCCTGCAAAAACAGAGGCAAGTGGGTACTTCGGCTCCTGTTTAAATCAGTGGTGATGGTAGAAACCCTCTACTGATTATAACGAAAGCCCAAGTACCAGGTTTTTAATTATCATTAATCCTCACAACAGCCGTGCAAGGTAAATATTATAATCCTATTTTATGAGCAAACTAAGGCTCTGAGAGGTAAAGGAACTTACGCAGCCCATGGCTGGGAACAGAGAGTGCTCAAACCTGCCGGAATTCTGGGTTTGTCTGGGTCTTGAGCGCCTGCTGTCCACTGTGCTAGGCTACTTCCAGCAAAGACCAGGACAGCCCTTCCCTTGATGCAGAAAAAAATACTTGCTGTAAAGACCACTTGGCAGCCTCCCTCCTGAGTGGCTGTCCTGCCTCAGTCCTGCTTGTTGGGAGCAGCCACACTTGGCAGTGCCCTGAGGGGCTGCGAGAGTATTCTGGAAGGTCTGAATGTGAAACAAGGAACCGCCCCCTAATAAGGGGCTGCAGGGGCAGAAGAGGTGCTGTGAGTAGATGCCTGGGTCCCCCGCCCCCCACCCCATCCATAAAGAAAGCGTTCTTGAGTGACCGTTACTCAGCAATATTCTCTGAGGGGGAAAAGGAGGGAAGAAACGTGATTGGTAACTGCCATGCTAGGTTTGTTTTGTCGTTTAATCATCATCCTGTTTCCAGAAATAGTCTCAGGCCTCTGTAGACCCTCCCCGCGCCCCCCCCCCCAAATAATCAGCTTAATTCATCGGAT